CTTGATTGACTCTTATTACCTGCCCAACATTTTAAGAAATTTTGTTGTCTGTAGAAGAAAGTTATGTTCATGCGGTCTTTTTTAACAGAAGTTTGATTTGGGCAATAATATTTTCAAGGCAACCGCAACTTTTAGATACACTCCAAAAAAGAAGAAAAGCTGTAAAATAAATACTGGGGGATAATAATTAAAAAAGTTTCATAGTCTCTTTCGCTTTTTAGGGTATTTTGTTTCACATATCCAATAGTTACCCATTTTTTTACTAACTTTTGTTTTGTTTTTGGATTACGTGTGAATATTAGCTGTCAATTGAGATGAGAGCAAAATAGCCATCACGTTGCGTTAGTTTGGCTTGAAAACGGACCGGCTTTAAATGGAAAAAAATTTCCAATCGAAATTGTTTACAAACAAACGCCTTCGTGGAATACAATAAAATTAAATATTGAATATCATATTATTTAATTTTATTTCATGTTATTTTTTTAAGTTGTGGAGGTCAAACGAGCAAAGCAATTCTCATTTTTTAACCTACAAGCTTAAACCCATTTATAATGTTTCTTTTGGGCCTTAATTATTATCCCTATAATTGTGTGTTTATTTTTGCACGATATTATCTTTGTTCACATTAAATTTGGCAGTATATAAACAAAGAAACAGCAAGCTTGCCTCTATTTTCCCTTTATTTTTTCAAAATAAATAAGACCAAATCATAATGATACATAACACAAAAAAAAGAGATTTTCTTTCTTTTGCCGTCAAAGCGAACAAGATTTAATGAAAGATACGTAACCACAGCCCTGACGTTGAACACTTTTAATCCACTTATATCCAAATTAAATTTATTTTTAAACGAAAGAAAATATTTGTTAATACGAGTTATATTATAAATTTATAGAACGCGCGCACTTTTGTATGTCAAATAACATGAAAACATGGAAAGTAGAATGCGAAAACCATAGTGGTGAGTAGACGAGATTTGGCCCGCTCCGAATATAACTTTCTTACTTGTTGTTTTTCGCCTTGTTTTTGTTTAATACAGCTAACATTTGTTACATTTGTTTTATACATTGGTGTCAAGAAAAACTATTCCTACATTTCATCTTTCTTTACTTTTGTTGTCATTAAAGTATTTAGCAGTAGATGTGGCGACAATAAATATACGGATTTGTAATTTTTTACTTGAATTATCTTAGAACTTTTCTTATTAAATATAAAAAAAAATGACATGTTAATTCCATTAGTGAAACGCCGCACCAGCCAGCATTGCTCACTTTTCTCTTCCTTTTTGCATCGAATATTAATAAAACTGCGAAAAATAACTGATTTCCAAGAGACCTTAACTTTGCTTCAGATTTTTAAATAGTCACTAAATTTGCAGAACGCCAAGCAATTGTTTGGAATAGTCAGTGTTTAGCGCCTCTCTTTAAGACATACCTTCTTTAAGCATTCCTGTTTATATACAAGATATTTACAAAAAGGTAATATGAACACACCGCTTACAAGTCTTTAGATAAAATTTAATTCTCCATTATTATCAGGCATCAAATAATCTTAATATATATATATCGTACGTATTAGGTACCCAAAAGTCGGCTGTGCTCTTTCGTTAATTATATATCCATAGAAATGTACGCAGTCATAAAAAATAAAACGCTTGTGTTAAGCATACGATCATATTGCTCTCGTATTCTTGCAAGTATTTTAATGTTTTCGTAACTGCATTTTAATTCACAAAAAAAAAAAACGTTTCCAACGATTATAGCGTCGATCATTATGATGATGAAAATGGCGGTTTTATATGAGAGATGCTTACTTTTTATAAAAAAAATAAGTTGTTAAGATAGTAAAGTATGATATTAAAGTATGAAGAACCAAAAAGATTTTGATCAGGTCTTTTAAGTACAAGTATATGTTCACAATTATTTCAAAAAAGGATTTTTCTCCATATTGTCATGCTTTCTTTTTTTTTTTCGTAATAAGCAATAGTTTGATTAAATATTTTAAAACATTCTCCAATTTTTCTTTCTAAAACTCTTCTTACTTACAGTAAAGTAAATTTTTATATGTTTGCTTAAAAATTAAATTATTAACAAATTTTTTTTTTGAAACATAAATTTTTCCTGTCTTTTCTTTCTATTCATTTCAGAAGTAATTTTACTAATACCTTTAACTATCTTTTTACATAACTACCTTTAGCAATTAAACAATAAAAAAAACCTTGTAATAAAAAAATTTCAATGTTTATAATTATGTACAGACGTTTTAATTTTAATATAACCTCATTAACAAACGAACCGATAGTTTTTTTTTCACATTTTCCAAGTGTTTAAATAAAAATAAATTTTATGATGAAAATGATTCCTCTTCAAAATAAAATACAATAAGTGCTAAAAAATAATTTTCTTTGTGCGTTCAAATAATGCATTTCCACTTAATGTTTTAGCGGGAATTTAAGCTGTATGGTCACCACTTCAACATCAGAAAAACCATTCCCTTTTCCAATAAAATATATGATCGAAATCTCCTTCAACGTAATAATGTGACTAATATAATGGGAGAATTTTAGATCCTAGCTTTGTTAATTTTCCTAAAATAATTGTAAATCGCTGTCTGCCTACTAGTTTACTTGAGGTTCAATATCATCCAACAATGTGTCTTTAATGCAAGCAGGACGCCGTTTTGAGTTTCTCCAACTATTTAAACTACACTCGCCCAAATCCTAATTTCTACATTTTATAGTGTATTAAACTTTACTGTTTCTGCATCCGTTCTCTTTAAAACACTTGGCCGCCATGTTAACAGTAACAGTTAAATACTATAAAAATACGAAAAACCAATTTTTCAGAAAATTTATGAAAATTGACCCTGTCCGCGGTGCTGTTTTACTGTAAGATACACGCCTAATGTCATCAACGGCCAAAGTTATCGCAAATTCCTTCAAATAATAAAATGTTCACTTTTTATCCATCCTAAAGAATTTTACAAAATTTATTAATTCCAAAACAAAAATCTCCATATATTCGTCATCGATGCGGTTTAATGGCTCCGCTTCTTCTGGAGATAAAGAAATTGTGAATATTGCCAAATATTTCCGGACCTATGCTGGTACAGTAAATAATTACCCATTTTAAATCAAAAACTTGGAACTGAAAGTCACATATTACATACTTTAAGGTCACTGAAATATAATTATACGCCACCATGTATACAGAAATCAAGCTCTGACGAAACATGCGGTATTATCGTAAAGATGTCTATTCATTCTCTCAAGACAGACGTTTTCCCTGTGGAAACAGTGGAAACGGCCATCTAGGTGAGAACTACAGAAGCATTGCCAAGTTGAGCGGTTTACTTAAATTGTTTGAAAGAATCATTACCCAACCAGTAACTTTTACTGGCAAGTCTTGGTTGCGTGGAATCTTAAAAAGAAGTTGAATTGTTACTTGTTAGAGTTTACTTGCCACAATTTGAACATTTTTCTAGTGGCGCTGACACTGAATACATAGATATCAATAAAGTTTTTGGTTTAGTCAGCCATAAATTATTGGTGTTTAAACTCCTCAATATGCCTCAATATGCCTCAATTGTATGGCCCCCTACTATAGGTGTCATGTTGACTCAATTGAGTCAAAAAAAATTCCTGCTTTTTGTCGTGGGTAATTTGCGTTGGAATCCGCTCCTCCTGTTGCCTCTCTATGAAAATAGACAGCTATTGCAGGCCTTACCATTATTAGAGGAAAGGCAGATTTAGGCTTGGTGTTGCCTTCACAGTTAAGTTAATAAATGGTCTACCAATAATATTAGCTGAGACAAATTTCAATGTTCCTAGTAGGAACAGGGAAAGTAGACACAACTGTGAGCTTTGCAACCAATTTAGGAGCAAAAATCTGAATTATATCTAAAACTTAATCTCACTGTCTGATTCTTTAGACTTTATTCAAAATAACCCCCCATAATATATGTCGTATTTAAACAAACTGTTAATCGTTAAAGCTTTGTATGATTCATAGATTGCTGCTGGATTGTTTCTAGATGGGTATTTTCTAGTTATAAGGTTTCCTGACGAGGTAAACATCCGCCTTTCGTTTAGTTCAACAGATCAACAAATCTTTTAGGTCAACGGGCGTTTTTACTGCAGCGTGATCTAGAAAATTTGCACTCTTGACGCGTTGCCTATGGCAAGCCGTTCTATACAGAAAAATGTAAAAATTTTTTGGCTTTCTTGGAAAGCACTCCTACCTACCATATTAATGAGTATACACTCGAAAATATATCAAGTTTTATCAATTTAGGAATTATACATGACTCTAAACTTAGCTTAGTAGAGTTTAACCTTCACTTTGACGGTGTACTACGAACGAGGCTAAATTCGTCCTTGATGTTATCAAGAGACGGTAAAAAGAGTCCAAAAATCCATATGTTTACAGGCGTTTACACATTATGTTAGTAAGGCCGCTTCTAGAGCACTCAGTTGTTGTTTCGTCACCAAGTTATAAACGTCATATCCACCCATTATATAGATATTATCTGTTTTGTTTATGATCAAACTAGTAAACGTGTTCTTCTACTTTCCTTGAACATGTTTCCTGCAGCTTACCTTCTAGAGTGTCTATCCATTATTTGTTAATAAAATAACCACTGTTACTGCTTGTTTGATCCGTCTGCTCCATTCAACCGATGACTAATTGTTTGGCTGTGGAAAGCTTCTACTCTAAAAAAAGTCTGTGTTGACCCAAATAGCCTTCAAAGAGTACGCGCTTCGTTCGCTTAAAATGAGAGTTTCCTTCATAACAAATTCGACTCGTAAATTTTATACCCGAAAAATAAAGCTTCTTATATGCGCCCATGCTTTTTAAATATCTGCAACTATTATATAAAGCTGCTTTATAAAACCTGTTATATTTTCGGACAAATAGTGTTTCCCTAAAAGCAGTGTGCGCAAGTCTTAGCTTTAATGAAAATTGCTATATTTGTGTATTCAAGGTTCAAGAATTATATGATCAACCATAAAGCCTCTTAAGCAAAGTGAAGTACGAGTAAGTGGTGTTTAACAGAGACTGCAGCATTTCCAAGTTCATTGGATAAATGTTACCAACTAAAATCTAAAAGGGGCGTTATTTAAAAAATAAGTTAAAGGAAGAATTTCTTACCGCACATGGCTTTTGAGCTCTCAGTATTAACAGATGTAATATTTTTTGAGTCATTACATTGAAATGAAACCAATCACTATTATAAGCTGCTTCAGCTACAAACAAACTCTGGAGCAAAAAAAATAAAATGAATTAAAAGCTTTTCTTTCTCCAAATTTTATCTCAGCACTAACTTGGTCGTACAACTCATTAGCATAATAATACATAATAACACTCTGTGAGAATATCATGAATATGTAGATGCCGATAATGACCATTTGGCCCACTGTGTCAACCTAAAAAATTCGCCAAAATTATTTGAAAATTTTATGAAACTTGCCCTTATGCTTACAATTATTAAAAGGAAAAGCATTGCACATAACATAGCTCCGAAAGCCAAAAACTCAACCAAGTAAGTGTAAGTTGTCAACTCATTAATAGTTTTTACATAGCTTAAACGAAAAAAAGTTACATACTTTTTCAAATTCAAAAAACATTAACACGCATAAATACTTTATTAATTGCAGTTGATATTTTATACACCAGATAATCACCTCTCTGGCCTTTTCGTCCTTAACGTCATGCAATTGTTTTAATTTATGTTGCATTACTTTACACATCAATATGGCGAAAAGAATAAAAGCCACAACTATGTTAGTGAATGGAATATACATACAGCAGCCCATCGGTGTTATAATTACTTGCAGGACAAAAAAAATTTCATAGAAAGGACTTTCATGTTTATCAATGCCGGGCACATACATGCCAAAGGGTAAAACTGAAAAACATACATTCATTTCATTTATTTACTTTTTTTTTAATTCATGATAAAATGGCTTTTTATATTCTAAATTTTTTAAATTCAAATTTTGATAAATTGCTTCCCCACTTCTCTGTGTTCTCCTTTTTAGTATCAAAATATACGCGTTTCTCATCTTAGAAGGTAACATCACCGAAATTTAGCAAAAAAAATTTTTTTTCTTGGTTTAATATAATTTTCTATCTAATTGGTCTGTCTCCGTCCTTAAAAAAAGTCGTATTCTGGAAATTTCAAAGTGTTTTATAAAGTCATCCTGTTCTACATAAGTGTCTGCGAGGAAATTACAGATTGATGTCATACCTAATCATTACTAAATTATCTAATACATCAGCAAGTGCCACTGTCTTTTGAAAGTACTTCTTTTCATTTGAAATCGCATCCAAGGAAAATACGAAAATATACGGAGAAAAGAAACGACTACTAAGTAGCTTAGATGCAGTTTTTGATATTCGTTATGCATGCCGCTATAAAAGTACGTACTTCTTGCCGCTTTGTCCGTCATTTCGTAGCGCTCAGTTAAATCGGGTGAGAAGCAGTTGCGCTATGTAAACTTGGTTGAGATTTCTCGCGGTGTTTGAACACAACTTCTTATAAATATAAGCTTGATTTATCCTCGCTATTCGTCAATACTAGTTAAGTAAGCTTAAGCAACTTACATTCAAATAAGAGCTATTTAGCTTCTTTCGCGTTCTTTATGGTTAATTTAATCATGTTTCTCACCTAACTTCGATATTAAAATCGCGCAATATAATCAAAGTGCATCTACTCTTTTTTTGTCTCTTTTTTGTTTGCACTTTTAGTTGTTTATTTATTCATGTTTTAGGCTTTTTGTGTCCCCCATTAAAGTATAGGGGTGCATTCAATTTGTCAAAACGTTCACGACACCCAGACGGTTCGCATAAAGTATATGCATCCTGGACGAGTATTAAATTCTGAGTCGAGTTTAGTATGTCCCTCTACATGACTGTCCGCGTTATATCTGTGTTGAACATTTTCCTGATCATAAAAATAAAGATATCGCCGCCACATTTTTTAAAAACCTTGTAAATTATTGCAGGAAGGGTGGTATTGAAAATGGGGCGAAGCGATCGAAAGCTACGTCCACAGAACAAAATTGTTGAGTCCTTTGCTCATTATTCAGAGAATCATAAAATACAGCACATACAAAGATAATAACCTTCGTTTAGATTTTACAAAAAAATAGAAAAAATGAGCCACACCCACCCAATATTATGCGGGATCGAAACTTTATTCTTGTTTTGTTTATTTGCTTATTTTTCTGTTTCTCTTCGTGCCTTCTTTAAAGAAAAGATGGTAGGAATAGAAGGTGCCAGCACCAAAGCAAATATTTCTTACTTACCTTTTTTTTTTGTTTTTAGATTTAACTTTAGCTGTTACAATATTATTGTGGTTTAAGTAAAAACTCAAATTTTTCTATTACCTCTTGATGTCGTAAATATGGGATATGTTACGAAGCCCACACACGAACAAAATCCCATTAGCAAATTCATTTTTGCAATATATTTAGCTGCCGTAGTAGTATCACGCACTAATGCCCTAATCACATTATCCTCTGAATCCTTTAAGAATTATTTCACAAAATAAATATTAAAATATATATATCTTCTTTTTCCCCCCAAAATTTCTTTTCTATATGTTCCCACTTACCGTCAATTCAATATACAACAAACGTATCTTATCCATAAATTTCTCATAATCGAAACGATTGATACACAATAGCACCGCTCTTAAAATGGTATTAAAGAACAGCACAGCAATATAAGCATTACGTACAATGGCATCAATCGATTCTTCACTATGGTAAATGTCCAAAAATTGTGTGGTGTTAATCATAATATACGGTATTAGGCAAACATAACGACGCCAATTATCTTGCAAAAGAAATGACCAGAATTTCATTATACGTAAACTGGTCTGATAGAGAGGAACATCTTCAATAGCTCGCAAGTGCATTTTGACTGAATAAAAGAGTCTTTAAAGTAAACTTTAATATAAGAAATAAAAAAGGTTTTTATACTTGAAAAGATGTTAGTATTCAGAGTAAATTAAAGGTTTGACTTAAAAAAGTTTTAATTTGGTTAAACGTTGTTTGTCAACGTTTTGAGGAATATTTAATAATAATGACTAAACAAGTTTTACTTTTTTAGTAAAACTACAGGACTAATTTGATGCATGATTTCCTTTTGTAGGAAAACCCCTCTAAGGCAAATTTTTTCAACTGATTAAATTCAGTTACCTTATATTAATAACATTTCATTTCACTTCACAGTTTTTATAAGCGAGTCTTCACCACAAAATTATATACGACAAGGTTTCGATCAGTCAAAAGACATCTATTTTTAATGATATAATTTTATCTCTCATTTTTGTTAAAAATATTTCTTGAGCCAATGAAACAGTACGTGTCGCGCTTTCGCCAAATGGTTAATATGTGTTGCCTATTTACTAGCAGAATTTCGTGAATCCAAATATTTGCCGTTCTAATCAACAACCTTAGATCTCTGGCGAAGAAGCCGAACCAAGTGATTTTCACTTGTCTCTTCTCTTGCACCACTAAGAATGTTCTAAAAAAAAGAAATAAATCGTAGCTGTTGTGATAACTTTTGTCGAATCATTGCAGATGTGGGCAGTCGCAATGGAAGACCATACTCTTCCTTTTAGACCGTTTACTCCAGTTGCGAGTATTAAGCGTATTAGTTATTTACAGAATGATAAGGATCGGCTGTCTAGTTTGGGCCAGAATTCTCTCCTAATTCCACCAAAACTTTCACTTTGCCTCTACATTTGATAATGCATGTGAATATAAAAGTAATATATATGACAAAACTTTTGCTTCACTTCATGATCTTAGTTATCAACAGAAACTTGCACATTTACAAAAAAGATCTCTTATGTGTGCACACTAGCGGAATTAGCCTGAGCGCCCATCCAAATATATTCATTGATTCGTTTTCAAGCGGCCAGTTGAAGTCAAACTTATTGGTGAGAACGGGAAAAAACTGCTGTGAACGTACATATCAGAATATTCGCATTCTAAAGAATTATTTGATTCGCCACCATGGGGATAAAGCCAAACATATGCCTTATAACCAGTGTAAAAATAGAATGTTAAGACAACTCTGAGAAGGAATCGAATGTAAAAAAAACGAGCGGAAAGAAGGAAAACAATTTTTAGCTACTTCGAAAGTGTTTAGTATAAGATTCAAACAATAGATCGTTTATCGTAACCCGTGTTAATGGAATGGAGATGTGTGTGTTTATAACGGCCAATTCTTTCCAATTTCTTCTTTCCAATTAAATCAGTTGTTTTTGGTAACTTTCCACACTGACGATTCCATTTGGTTGGAGAAAATCATAGTATACTACGCTCAACAGATCCCCGTTTCCCCAAATAGATTTGCGCGAACGCATATTCAGCTTTATCGTCGGTATTACGATTTACCTATTGCGCATCTTTGTTATTTGGGCTTTCGATATCGTAACACATCCGCTTCTACATGATTCATAAGGATGTAGCAACAGTATTGTTTAAACGAAGCATAAAAGGTAAAGTGCCCGCAACTGGCGTTTTTTCTTTTGTCACATAACTATATCTTTAACGCTTTTGTCTAATAGTAACGGCGTATGAATTAAAGATAGCATTTTCAAATGAAAAACTCGGAGTTTTACTTAGCACTCTATTAAAAAAGGGCGGAGACATACTCACACACTAAGTAACAATGGCCAACAACAAAATTATATCTGCCTAGATATTCATCATATTAAGTAAACAATTGTATATTTTTTGATTGGTCAGTCTTGATAGTCCTGACAAAAATTTGCAGAAAATTTGCGATTAATATTTTCCTTTACTTACTTTATATTTCTTAGTTCTTTAGCTACCTTGAGTAAATTCGAGCTAGTTCCATTACAAACAGAATGATAAAATTAATACACTGGGTATAAAAATAAGATTTGAAGTAGTACAGTAAACCATGAACTCCCATACGGAAGCAAGTAATAATTATTCCCAAGTATACTCAAGATCTTAATTTAGTTAGAATTATTGCATAAATATTTCATGGTAAATCGGGTCACAGATAAGTTTTAGATATATACCATTCTATTCCACTTTGCTTATTCCTTAACATAATCAAATAAATTATTGAAATTTATATGAACGCAACTCTTTACATTGTTCGTGAAAACATATAACTTCATGCACAATATTATATATTTATTTTATCTACGATATTTGATGTGAGGTAAGAAGACTCACACCGGATAAAATAAAACCAAAAGGTTTTCAAACTAAAGAAAGAGACAAGATATTATTACCATTTTAAATATTAACTATTTTGGCGATTTCCGATTTTTTTTGTTTAATTTTGGAATTTTATTTAATATTCCAAAAATAAATATGTTTGTCATATCCATGGAAAAATTAATGCTTATGGAATATGTTGTTCAAAAAATTGTTCCAAGTTCTAGTTCTTTTTTTTTAATTCTCTTTAGTCATTCGCCAAGAATCCTAAACGTAATTTGAGAATCGTAACAAAACTAAGTGTACAAAAACGGGTAAAGTAGGTGTACTAACAATCCTTAGAAGAAAGGCAAAAAAGAAATATAAAGTGACAACGGTGTTGAAACGCGGCCACAGGAAACGTAGTTATTGTCTTGAAAATTAGTGCGTTGAAAAAATTGCGAACTTATGCAAGGGCTTATGAAGCGTTTGCAAAAGCTGTGACCTCTTCGATATTTCGATGCTTTAACATGCGTAGTTTTCTTCTATTGTAAATATTGTAAAGAATAGATGAAACTATAAAATTCAAGTCAAATTTATATAATTGTGCTTTTTCTCCATTATGCCCATTGTTATCAATTTACATTAGTAAACAATAGCGGTTTTATAAGAGCCCTTGTATTGAAGGATGTCCTCTTCTTCTTTTTCCCGTTTTGATAGTTATCGTTTTATGATATTAAACACTATCGGCCTCTGATTGTGGGCATGTGAAAGAAGTTAAGCAATTTATCTTCACATGGTGAAGCATTGCTCAGCTAACAACGCGATAATTTTTCAATGGGCAATTATTAATAGAAGTAACGAAAATTTTAATATCAAAGAGTTAAAATGTTCGCCGTCGATAATAATTCAAATAAAATTCTACAACAAAAGTAAAAAATTGTGTGCCTTAATGAAACCGTGATTTATTGCTGTCGATTTTACAATCGCAACGAAACAATTATATACCTTACCCGCAAGAACTTGACATAAATAAACATCATTACATTGTTATTTAAGCTTTCCACACTTCTGTTTTTAAATTTTAAATCGTGTAGGAGTGATATGTGTTGTTACGGCGTGATTTGAAGCGAAGTATTGATGGTGCATAAAGGTTTTGCATAAAGAATCTTGATTTTTCCTCTTTGCTTATTTTTTAGAGATCACATTCAGATTTCAAACGCTTGTTGCGCTTAGAGTTACCGCGGCTTGCTAATATAGTTATGACCTGAAAGTTTTCTTTAGAAGAGCAAAGCTGATTTCAATTGTTGTTTATCGTTTTAGCTTAAAATATGGCTTTTATGCTGTATGATGACAAAACTTAGTCAACTGATATATCAATATAATTGGAAGTAGGTACTTTACACGATATTTGGTGCACGTCGTTTGAGCGACGTATCGACTAAATGGTTCTCAAAGTTTTGTGTGATTGTGGCGCTTACTGGGGTGCGGCAAAGATATCTTCTGTGTTTGGTCATTCATTTCAACGTGCACTAGTTCGAATAGCATAACGTGGAGAGGAATAAGAAAAGGACACAGCCTTGAAAAAGAAAAAAAATCATAGGGAAACACTAAATTGTTAGCTTTAGTCACCTAACCTAATCTACACAACTTATGAGATTGCTACTTATAGGCTGTGGCAAAAGTTAAATCTTTAAATATTTCACAGCTTTAATTTTATTTGAGTTATTCTCGCATTTCTCGGAAAAAGGAAGTAATTTCTCTTCATTGATAGCCTGAATATGCCTTGAAAGGTTTTCACGTATATATTAGTTTGGGGAAAAATAAATCCATTATTTTTATATGAACTTCAGGACTTTATTTAACATGCTTCGGATTGTCCGATTTGGGTCAAATATGCACCGTTTTGTTGTATGATTTATTGCCATTTTAAAGGTAACTTCAAAATGCCCCTCTCACAGAAGTCCTGGTCTCTATTTGCAAAAAACTCTTGTAGTCGATTTTCACAATCCTCCCTAGATTCCAATTTTTTATCATTAAAGAAATTTTGCAATGCAAGAAAAAGATGATAATTGCTTGGTGCCAAGTCCGGACTGTATGGCGGATGCATTAAAACTTCCCAACTAAGCTCCCGAAGTTTCTGGCGAGTCACTGCAGATGTGTGTGGCCTAGCGTTGTCCTGGTGGAACACGACACCTCTCCTGTTGGCCAATTCTGGCCGTTTCTGGTCAATCGCTATCTTCAAACGGTCCAGTTGTTGACAGTAGAGATCAGAATTTAGCGTTTGGCCATATGGAAGCAACTCATAATAAATAATCCCCTTCCAGTCCCACCAAATGCATAACAAAACCTTCCTGGCCGTTTGAGGTGCTTCACCGCTCTTTTACCACGATCGTTTTCGCACAGGGTTATCGTATGTGATCCATTTCTCATCTCCAGTCACCATCCGTTTAAGAAATGGGTCTATCTCATTCCGTTTGGACAAGGCTTCGCAGATGGAAATTCGATCCATCATGTTTTTTTCTGTTAATTGGTGTGGCACCCAAACATCGAGCTTCTTTTTGAATCCAGCTTTGTGTAAATGGTTTAAAACTGTTTTATGGTCGATTTTTAGCTCCTGGGCGATGTTACGACTGCTAACATGCCGGTCAACTTCGATCATTTCTCCGATTTTATCGACATTTTCGACGACCGGCCTACCTGTGCGAGGTGGATCTTTAACATCAAAAAT